CGGCGTTGCTCACCAAGTTCGTAGAGAACGAGGGGAGGTGAAGACCTGACAGTGAGCCAGACGGAACCGCCGGACACGGCAGAACAGTGGAGGAGCGTGCAAGGACTGGGCCCCCAGAGGGGTCAGCCAGAGAGACAGCAACAGGTGCAGAGAGCGGTGTGACTGTGGTACTGTCGCGAAAGAAACAGCGGGAACTACCTGGGTCAAGGGTGAAGGTGTGCAACGCCGCAGCAGACGCAGTTCCAGAGAGAGCAGACTGACCAGCACCTGGAGCAGCAGACTCACTAGCACCTAGAGCAGCAGCCTCTATACCTGGGTCTGGCGGCATACACAGGTAGCAGTCACCCTCAGCACTAACAGTCAATGCATACATAGCAGCAAGGATAGCATCATAATCAAGAGAAAAGATATCCACACCCTGCCTAAGCAGCTCTGCCCAGCGGGGGAGCTCAGCCGCGTCGGGAGACTCTGTGCAGAAGGCGTCGTCAAGACGAGAGAAGCAGCGGTACTGGGTGTGAAGCTTCCCGCATGTCTGACCAGAGCGGTAACCTGTGCGAATGACATACGGGCAGCGACCACTACCCCCAGCCGCCCCACGCTGAGCAAACCACTCACGTAGTTCCTGAGGCGACTGAGTCTCACGCTAACGCTGCTGCTGCTGCCTCTGACCACCGCCAAGGCCTCCCCTCTGGCTGGTACCACCCCGGCCGCCACGACTGCCGCCGCCTCCACTCCCACTGCCGCCACCACTGTCGCCGCCACCACTCCCACTGCCGCCACCACCGCTGCCACCTACGCCTCCACCCCCACCACCACTCCCTCTGCCACCGCCGCCCCCTCCACCGCCTCCACCGCTCCCACCACCGCCTCCACCTCTGCCACCCCCACCGCCCCTGCCTCCCCTGCCCCGCCGCTGCGGCGCCTCCCACTAGGGGCAGACGCAGCTCCTACCTCCTCAGCACGAAGGTAGTCAACAGCTGCAGCAGAGGCGACTGAGGGTAGAAGGGGGGAGGGCGAACACCCCTCAAAGAAGGGAGTGCGAGGAGTGCCACGAGAAGCGCCTACAGCGACTATGCTAGTCTCAGCTGCAAGGAGGTGCTTCTCGAGCAGGTCGACAGTGAGGTCTGTGGGGTCAAGGGCGAGAAGGAGGTCCCTGACAGTGCTAAGAGAGTCAGGGAGGCGGGTGACTATGAAGTAGAGAGTGATGTACATGGGAGGAGGGTTCTTGGTGAGGAGATCGGCGGGAAGCGCGGCTCGGTAGCGGACGTCACTAGTGCGAAGGTGAGTGACGAGGTCAGCGACTGTGGCAAAGGCGGACAGCTTGGGGAACAGGTAGGGCAGTAGAAGGCGGCCTAGAGCAGCAGTGGCCAGGGAGGAGTAACGAGCGACTACAACATCATACAGGGCTTTAGCAGTCTTGTGCTGGCCAAAGTGAGCTCGTTCGGCTAACGGCAGGTGGTTGCGAACGGCTAGGCGAGCAGCAGCGTCACGGGTAAGCCACTGTGAGCGAGTCGCACTGTCAGCTGTGGCGGCAGGGGCGAGAGAGGCGCCAGACGTGAGGTCAAACAGCGAAATACCGTCCTTAGAGTCGCTCTGTAAGTACAGCTGTAAGTCATCGAGCCAAGAATCGAACTCTATCGAGCGGCCCTCCGGATCGAAGGTGAGGACACTGAGAGTCGCCATAGCGGGCAGAGCAGGCGAGCGCGGTAGCAGCAGGGCAGCTAAAGCAGGGCAGGGTAGGGCGGCGGCCAGCAGGGCTGCTCACAGGCAGGGCAGCGTGGCTGCTAGCGGCGCATGGGCAGGGCAGGGCGCGCGGCGGCAGGCGGCGCGCGGGCAGGGCAGGGCGCGCGGCGGCGGGCGGCGCGCGGGCAGGGCAGAGCGCGCAGCGGTGAGTGGCGCGCGGGCAGGGCAGGGCGCGCGGCGGCTAGCAGTGCGCGGGTAGGGCAGGGCGCACGGCGGCGAGCAGCGATCGGCGCGCGCGGGCAGGGCAGGGCAGGGCGTGCGCGGGCAGCGCGACGCTGGGCAGGGCAAGGCAGCACAGCACTAACAGGGCGGCGCGACTCGGTGGGGTAGCGCGATTCGGTGGGCCCAAAAAAAACGGTCCTAGGCTAGGACCTGCCCTGAAACCATGTCAGCAGAATGAACGAGAATGGATGAACTAGCAGCATGCAGGAGTAGAAGTAGCAAACCGTAATTGGGTTGTACCCCATATGGGCTACCCCACTACAGCCTACACAACATGCAGCATATAAGTTTGACAATAAATAGCATTCCTATCTAGCCATATATTCTGAGGGCTACATTCCCTTATTAAACTGTTTTGCATTGCTACAATAACCACGACTATTGCGATACTCGATAGTTACCATGTTGCAGCGTGTAACCTCCGATTATGGTTGCGGGGTGGTCAACTGTCGCGACCATTGACTTCCCTGCGACTGTTGACCTTCGCGTGGCTATTGACCTTCGCGTGCTCTGTACGAGCTAATGCGATATCAGTACAAGTGCACTCCTTTGTTATGAAGCGGCGCGCTAAGGAGAACCTTCGAGAATGCTGTAATAACCCTTGGTTATTCCACCAAAGAGGGTGATAAGTGTCAAACTATATATATGCTTTATAATTGGGTGTAGGCTGTAGTGGGGTAGCCAATGTGGGGTACAACCCCTTTAGGTTTATACTTGTACCAAACTCTCTCGATAGTCAACCATCCTTGCTAGTTCTTCGAACATGGTATTAAGAGCCTTTGGGCCTTAGGACCGTTTTAGAACCGTTTTTTTAGGGCCCACCTACTGCTTTCGATTACCGCGCTACCCCGTGCCCTGCCCTGCCCTGCGCCGCGCCGCTAGCAGCCCGCGCGTCGCCCCTGCGTAGACCGCGCGTCGCCCCTGCGTAGCCCGCGCGCAGCTCCTGCTGGCCCGCGCGCCGCCCGCTAGCAGCCCGCGCGACCCGCTTGCTGTCCGCGCAGCCCGCGCGCAGCTCCTGCCGGCTCGCGCGCTGCCCGCTAGCAGCCCGCGTGCCCTGCGCGCTGCCTTGCCGGCCGCCTGCTACGCCCCGCGCGTCGCCCGTCGCGCTGCCCCGCAGCCCTGTGCGCCGCCCGCCCTGCTGCCCTGCCAGCCCCCTGCAGCCCCGTGCGCCGCCTGCCCTGCTGCCGCGGCTGCCTGCTGCGCCCTGCCCTAAGCGCTCTGCCCGCGCTGCCCTGCGCCCTGCCCGCCCTGCAAGCGCTGCAGCCGCTGCTACGCTGCTGCTGCTGCCAGCGCCGCACTGCCCCGCCGTGCCCGAGCCGCGCCGCACCGCCCGAGCCGCGCCGCACTGCCCGAGCCGCGCCGCACCTCCCGAGCCGCGCTGCCTTGCTGAGCCGCGCCACGCTGCCTAGGGGCCTGGCATTAGGTTTCTACTGCTGCTAGTGCTACTGCTGCTGCTACTGCTGCTTGCCTGCAATCGCTCTGCACTGCTAGTCCCGCGCCAGCAGCTATGGCCACCCTTCGCGTTCTCTCGTTCGATGCTGAGGGCCGCCCGATTCAGTTTGAGACCTGGCTCGATGACCTGCAGCTGTTCTTAATGAGCGATAGCAAGGATAACGTCTCTCTCTTTGACCACACGTCTGGTGCCTCAGTCGCTCCTGCTGCCACAGCTGAGCTTAGCGCCCGTTCCCAGTGGCAGACTCGTGATGCTGCTGCGCGCCTAGCCGTTCGCAATCACCTTCCGTTAGCTGAGCTCACGCATTTTGGCGAGCACAAGACCGCTAAGGCCCTTTACGACACTGTAGTGGCTCGATACTCCTCCCCTGCCACTGCTGAGCTTAGCCGCCTCATGCTGCCCTACCCGTTTCCTGAGCTGTCCACCTTTGCCACAGTTGCCGATCTCATTACACACCTTCGCACTAGTGACACCCGCCTTCGCGCCGCCCTCCCCAAAGAGTTCTGTGCTAAGCACCCGCCTCCGATGTACTGGACCCTCCACTTCATAGTCACCTGTCTCCCTGACTCTCTTAGCTCGGTCCGGGACCACTTTCTCGCTCGCTGTCCCACCGAACTCACTGTCGACCTCCTAGAGCAGCACCTCCTTGCAGCAGAGAAGAGCATTGTCGCTGTAGCTGCTGCTCGTGGCGCTCCTCGCACCCCCATATTTGAGGGGTGCTCTCCCTCTTCCCTCGCCCCCTCCTTCGCTACTGCTGCTGCTGTTGACTTCCTTGGTGCTGAGTCTGCTGGTGCTGCTTCTGATTCGAGCAGTTCGTCTCCAGCTCCGCCGCAGGTTCCGCCAGGACCTGCCTGTCCTGCGTCTGCACTCTGACAGAGGTGGTGAGTTCACCTCCGACCTCTTGCAGGCCTTCTGTCAGGGGAAGTCGTTCACGCTTCCGGGCTCACCGCAGCAAAATGGGGTTGCTGAGCGCCGCATTGGCTTATTCATTGAGGTCGCTCGTACCTCCATGATCCATGCGGTGGCTCCCCATTTTTTGTGGCCGTTGGCGGTCCTGTACGCCGCGCAGCAGCTCAACCTCTGGCCCCGTGTCTCCTTGCCGGAGACCTCGCTAAGGAGAACCTTCGAGAATGCTGTAATAACCCTTGGTTATTCCACCAAAGAGGGTGATAAGAAGAAAAGAGGAGTGAGAGAGAGAAGGGAAAGAGGAGGATGAAGAGAGGAGAAGAAGAGAGGAAGATACTAAAGGAATAAGGTACCTAAGTACCAAACACAAGAGCAACCCCCACAACAATGCGGGCAGAGATTTTCAAGCGCAGCCACCAACTGCCTACACAAATGAATCATACTTATAGTGCATGTCCAAGGTTGTGGCACTAGTGTGAATGGACAAGAATGACGCGTGTGAACCAATATATTAGAGCTAATATTGTGGACTAGTGAGTTAAAAATGTTAGTATGACGAGAGCGGCTCAGCTTATATCGCGATGTCGCCAGAAGCTTTAGCTTCTTGCCTCAAAGCCTCACATCGCTTTTCTGGCCCGTAAGACGGCGCGCACTTCGTCGCCTTGCGCCTCCCTCCATGTCCTCATCTCTCCTCTCCAGACTCGCCACGTCAGCAGCGACATCGGTCACACGGTGCGCGTCGTCGCTTCCCCGCACCCTCCTCGTCCCCGCCTCCTCCATGGCTCGCCCCTGCCCACCCCTCGCGTGTCAACGCACCACTGCGCCCACCGCGCTGCCGCCATGCATCCCCGCCCGCTCACACGCGCACCCCGCTCTCCGCGCAATGGCGCCGTCAACCGCCGCTGCCTCGCCCGCCCGCTTTTCCCCGGCGCGTGCCGGCGCCCTGCGCAGCGAGCGTACATCCCTGGCTGCAGCAGCCCCCTTGTCGGCGCCATCCGCCTCCCGCGCTGCGATCCGCTCGCTCCTTTCCCCCACACCGCCCACCTCACACCGCACACTCGCGCACCAGCACGGCGCCCCGCGGAACGGCAGCGGGCGTGGTGCAGCGCGCGTGACGGCCGAAGCCTTCGACTTCGCGGACGGGCCGCTCAGCCGCGCGCGCCCGCGCGGTGACGGCGACGGTGACGAGGACTGTGGGGAGGACGGGAAAGGCAGCGAGGCGAGAAGCGATATTGTATTCGTGGGCACGGGGACGAGTGAGGGCATTCCACGTGTCAGCTGCTTGACTAACCCCGACAAGATATGCCCTGTGAGCGCAACACGTGCCCTGGCACCTCGCGTTGGGAGCGCATGTGGTGGTGGGAGCACAAGCCCGTATGCGCATTGTGCATGAACAAGGTTCGGAGGCTGCTTGACTGAGCCTCCCTGCCTCGTGCCGAGGATGCCTTACCTCTCCCACCTCGCTGTCTCTGCCTCCCTGCCTCCTCACCTTCTCGCCTCCTCGCCTCGCCATGGCTCTCACGCCCCGCCCTCCTCTCCGCTGCCTGTGCGCCCGTGGCAGGTGTGTGAGGCAGCCACACAGCCGGGCAACCGCAACAGGCGGCGCAACACATCGCTGCTCATCAGGCACCGCACGCACGGAGGGGCGGACGGGCCCGTGACTCGCAACATCCTCATTGACGCTGGCAAGTGCGTGCCCGTGCCCTCTGCTGCGTAAAGGCTGTGTTGCTCACTGCACGCACTGCCATGCCACCACTAAGGCCGCCCACCCGCCTGCCTCCATGCTCGTACCAACGCTCCTCCGCATGTCCACGTGCTGCCGTCTCCTGAACCCCTCTCACTCGTCATGCCCTTGCTCGCCTTCCCGCCCATGCTGCTCCGCCTGCCTGCCCGTGTGTGCGGTGCGGTGCATGACCAGGTTCTTCTACCACAGCGCGCTGCAGTGGTTCCCCTACCACAAGTCAGTGCTCCCTCTCCCACCTGCATGTGTCCTGCCCCCCCCCCCCTCTGTCTTGCATGCCCTCTCGCTCCCGTGCTTGCCATTGTCTCTCCCTCTTTGCAGCACACTCCATTGCATGGTGTTGTACCCGTCTCGCCTCACCCGCTCGTTACCCCTCCATGACCCCGCCCATTCTTCTGCCCCATATTCCCGTTCTTGTCGCTAATTCATCCCACACCCTTCTTCTCTATCGCCTCTCCGTTCCATCCTGTGCTGCAACGCTTGTCTTGTCCTCCCATCCCATGCACCATCCTCACACCCTACCTTACCTGCTATGTTGCACTATACGCGATTCACGTATCAGTCGCGTTCGACTTATACGCTTACGGGCGTACGTGATACGGGGGATTTCCGCCCCGGGATACGCTTCAAATACGTTCGCCCGGGCAGACGAAAAAAAGTTTCGGGCAGGGGAAAAATAGTGTCAGGGGGGTGAGTCATGTTGCCTATGTTCTTTGTGATTGTGCCCTGGTGGTGTTGTCCCTACGTGTGAAATTTTTTTTCGCCATTACACACATGCATTGCAAGTACACACATAATAGCAACTACTTGCACATACCTCCCCGAACTCCTCTACTCCCCAGCTGCTAATACTCGACCTCTACTCCTCATGCTCGTCGCCTCGTCCGCCACTTACCCTGCTGCTGCCTTTCTTACTCCACGTACTCATCGGCCAGCACGGCCTCATCCTCCTCCTCCTCCTCCTCCTCCTCCTCCTCCTCCTCCTCCTCCTCCTCCTCCTCCTCCTCCTCCTCCTCCTCCTCCTCCTCCTCCCCTTCCTCCTCCTCCTTGTATCCCTCCGGCAGAGGGGGAGCAGGGATGTTGCCCGGAAGCACCGCCAGTGACTCACCAAGCTTGTGGTACTTGTGGACCACCGGCCAGTTGTGGGCCACATAAACTAGGTCCCGGAGTTTCTCCGAGCCTAGCTTGTTGCGGCGGGCAGTATGCACCGACTCCCACGATGCCCACCCGCGCTCACACGGCGAGGCTGACACCGGCTGTGTCAGGGAACGGCACGCAAGACTGGCCAGGTGGGGGTGGTCAGTCCCATGCCATCCCCACCACTGCACCATCGAGTGCTTGCCTGCCTTCACGGCCTCCCTGTCGGCAATTGCCTCAGGGAGGCCGAAGGATCCCTCCAGGTTGAGGAAGGCCGTGAGCCCCTCCTGCAAAACAAGAGAGGCCCGCTTCTCCTCACCGTCCTTGTTGGTGAAGGTCTTGCCGTCGTAGTGGCGCGCGATGAACGCCTTGAAGATGCGGGTACATTCCACATCGTTGCGGAATATACCCTCTTCCTGATTTGCTGGGTTCAGGATCCGGCCAACGACGTGAAGCGCGCAAGCGAGGCTCTCGTCCCAACGGCTCTTAACGATCTTCCTTATCTTATCCGCGTCCGCCCGCGTCAGAAACTTGTCCCCCGCATCCACCTTGGTGTTCATGTCCTCAGTCAGCTGGAGCATGTGGTCATAGATGGTGCCCATCATGCCCTTAGCGCTGCTATCCGTGGCCCGCATCACCTTGAACGGAAGCGCCAACAGCTCCACGAGGTAAGTTGCTTTCTTCCACCACTCGTCGTCCATGACTTGGCCGCGGAAATTATCTGCCGTCAGCTTCCTTGCCCCGCTCCCCCAGTTGCCGTACTCCTCGCTCAGCACCAAGGTCGACAACGAAGACCACAGCTCGCACAGCCTTGAGAGGGAGATGAAGTTGGTGCCGAATCTGGTCCCCGCCGGCTTCACAAGCTGCTTCCCCTTTCCTCCCTTTACCGCCCCACTCCTCAGGTAATTGCGGGTGAAATGGTGGTTACGAACGTAACTGACCATGTCCCCGCACCGATCCACAATATCCTTCGCCCACGTGATCTTCCCAACGTCCTCCATGAGGAGGTCGAGCACGTGCGTAGCGCACGGCACGTACTCGATGTGCGGCCATTCCGCCATAAGCTCCTTGCAGGCGGCCCCGTAGTTGGAGCCCCCGTCCATGCAAAGAGCGACCACGTTTTCGGGCCCTATTTTCTCGATGATGGGGCGGAGAATGGAAGCGATGAAGCCGCCGGTTTTTGACTCCATGTTGCAGTCAATTGCCTCGACGAACACTGCTCCGGAGTCGTTGATGAGCATCACGTTCGCCTGCGGCCTCCCGCACCGATCGGTCATCAAGTCCGAGGAGACGGTGACGCCATCCCTCTTCCAGCTCGCGGCGATTGGCTGAAGCCCCCTCTCGATGCCCGTGCGGCAAAGCTTCAGGCAATACCCTCCCACGTAGTTACGGCGCGGCGCGACATAACCGGGGCCTGCGTTGTTAATGGCCCGCACCATGTTGCGCCACAATGGGTTGTCGGCGTGGTGTACGGGAATGCGACAGCCGGCGAAGAACAAGCAAACGGAGTTGTTCGCCTCTTCGTTCTTGCATTTCTGCTCGTCGCCAATGAAGTCGGTGATGCGTCCTTTCTTAGAACCTCCCACGACAGCTTCGAGCGCAGCCTCCTCGGCCCTCCTCTTTTCGTCGCGGCCGGATGATTTCTTCTCGTAATGCGCGCGCACCGCCACTCGCACGTCAGACGGAGCCTTCGCGCACAGGCGGACGTCGCGCGTTTTCTGTCCCTTCCATTTCGCGAGATGCTGAGCGCATCGAAACGCACCACCCTTGAACTCGACGGAGCAATACTTGCAAACGCGGACAGTGCCGACGGTGTCAGGGCGGATCGGAACCTTGAAATGCATGAAAACGATGTGCTTACTATCCTCTTCCTGCCATTGTGCCTCAGAGGTCGAGGCTGACGGATCAGTAGACTGAGCGCTGGGAGATGGGTCTGGAGTAGCCATAAACAGAGAACAAACGAGAGGGAGGCTAGACAGAAAGAAGTGGATGAGAGTTGTGTTGAGGTGGGGTGAAATATACTTTCCACGTATTGGTTGTGGGGAGGGGGACGTGCTGTGGTTGGTCACGACTTGTTGGGGGTGAGTGGGCAATGTTGATGTACGTGGGGTGAACGTGGCGACTCGGGGTTGCACGTCCCTTGGTTGAAAAAAACGCGAATCGAAATGTCGGTATACGTGCGTACGAAAAGTGCGCGAATAATTTTTTTTTCCCCCAAAACATTTTCCCCTGCCCGGCTTTCCGTATCGCGTATTTGTCCCCGTTTCACGTATTTGCGTTTATACGTGAACGCATAAACGTGAAACGTAAAACAGTCTGAGCGTATAGTGCAACATAGCTTACCTGTACCGACCTGTTTCTTCTGCCTTACCAGTTTTCTTCTGCCTGTCCTTGTGCCTCCCGTTCTTCTCTTTCAATCCAATGATCTGTGTGGCGGTGCACTGTTGGTGTGGTGCCCACCAATCAGCATCCGCCACATCGACGCTGTACTCATCACGCATTCCCACGCCGACGCCATAGGAGGTGAGTTGCTCGCACGAGAGTAACAGAGTCTAATATCATGAGTGGGTTTTTGTGAGCAAGGTGGAAACATCAATTTCAGGGTGTGTACATAACCGGACACCACACAGCAACCCAAAATCACTGGGGAACACCCTTGGCCAGAGCAGTGTCAAGGAACATGGGGGATTGTATTGTGCGAACGAAACGGCTACAAGGACGGAGCAGCAAGGATAAAAAAAAAAAAATAGGAGCTTAGGAATGAGGTCCCGCTCCCTTAGTCTGCTCTACTATGAGAACCGTGCGACGTTTCTCCGAGCCAGTGAACTGCTCAAACGTGTTGTTGTATATACTGTATGGCAATAAGGGCTCGGGGCGGTACTACGCTCATGCCTAGCTTGTTGACCAGACCAGATGCTTGCATCCAATGTTCATGTGAATTCGTAAGACATCGTCGCCATGTTTCGCCACACAATAGAAGACCAGAATTTTTTTTAACAATGCTCATAGTTTGTACCACTGACTAGTAATGAAGCGAGAGTGGAGGGGTGTGCTGGTCAAGAGGGCAAGATCATATTACTCCCCCATGTGCGTGTGCGTGCGTGAGTGCGTGCGAGTGTGCGTGCGAGTGTGTGTGTGCGCGTGCGTGTGTGTGTGTGTGTGTGTGTGTGTGTGTGTGTGTATTTGTGTGTGTGTGTGTGTGAGAGCGCGTATGTGTGCGCGTGTGCGTGCGAGTGTGTGTGCGTGTGTGTGTGTGTGTGTGTGTGTGTGTATTTGTGTGTGTGTGTGTGTGTGAGAGCGCGTATGTGTGCGCGTGTGCGTGTGCGTGCGTGCGTGTGTGTGCGTGCGTGTGTGTGCGTGCGTGTGTGTGCGTGCGTGTGTGTGCGTGTGTGTGTGTGCGTGTGTGTGTGTGTGTGTGCGTGCGTGTGTGTGCGTGTGTGTGTGTGTGTGTGTGTGTGTGTGTGTGTGTGCGTGTGTGTGTGTGTGTGCGTGCGTGTGTGTGTGTGTGTGTGTGTGTGTGCGTGTGTGTGTGTGTGTGTGTGTGCGTGCGTGCGGTATGTGCAGGGTTAGACGACCTGAGGGACTGGACGAACAACGTGCAGGACGACATCCCCGTGTTTGCTAGCCAGAGAGACCTCACTGTGCGCACGGGGGCACGGCAGGGCGGGGGAGGGCAGGGCAGGGCAGGGCAGGGCGGGGGAGGGCAGGGCAGGGCAGGGCAGGGCAGGGCAGGGCGGGGGAGGGCAGGGCAGGGCGGGGTAGGGCGGGGGAGGGCAGGGCGGGGGAGGGCAGGGGGGGTCGGGGCAGGGCAGGGCGGGGTGCATGGCATAGCATGGTATGGCATGGCATGCATTGTAGGGTAGAGCATGGCATGGCATGCCATTGTTGCGTCACACCATTCCCATCTGTGAAGTTCAGTTTTCTAACGGAAACTCACTTGCACGTCACCCTTCCCTACCCCATGGAACATCCACCACCTGCTAGACCTGGCCTTTTCCACCTGCACGCATGCTTCCCACCGCATTCCTCTCCCTCGCTCCCCCACACCACACCCACCACCTCCTTCACCCTTACCTTCCCTTCCCGTTGCCACGTCTTTCAGAGACTGTCTGTCCAGTGCCTCTCCCCGCCGTCTGTCTGTCCAGTGCCTGTCCAGTGCCAACTCATCCTCCGCGCCCCGTGCGTGTGCGCGTGCGTGGCAGGTGATGGAGAAGACGCACTACTACCTGGTGGACACGTCCAACCTCATCCCCGGCACAGCCGTGTCCGCCCTGCACTTCCACGCCATCGACTCCTCGCCCTTCCACGTGCACGGCCTCCAGGTGCCCGCCCCTCTCTCCACCCATGCCCCTCTCTCCACCCATGCCCCTCTCTCCACCCATGCCCCACATTGCTGCCTGTGTCGGGGAGGGGGCACCTGTGTGGTCCGCTCCACTCTTCGTCCCCCATGCCCGCCAGTGACGGGCATATGAGCGTGCGTGACAGGTGGAGAACGGGTGCGTGGCAGAGCAAGCATCCAAGGCCGCCCGCACTCCACCTGCCAAGCCCCACCTGCCATGCTTCCCTGCCATGCTTCCCTGCCACCCGCCTGTCTTCCCCACCTGCAACAGCACCACCATCACCCAAGTTCTGATACCCTGCATGCTTCAGCCCCTCGCTCACAACCCATCTGCCATGCGTGCCCCCTGCCCCTTCCGCAGGTGACCCCTCTACCTGTGTGGCACGGTGCCAACTACCTGTCTTTTGGCTACCGCTTTGGCGATGTCTGCTACATCAGGTGCGCTCACCATGCATCCACAACCCCTGCATGCCCGCTCTGGCATCCCCGCTGTCATGCCATGTGCATGGCTGTGGGTGGAGCACATAGGGAGGGTGCTACCACTTGCTGCCTCATTCATTCCCTGGCTAGAATCAGGATCAGTGGCGCCATCATGTATTCTAGCTCGCCAACCAATTCTTCCAGCACGGGTGTTAACATTCCCCGTGCTTGCTGCTGCCTCCTGTTTCTCCTCTCACTCAATCAATCCCCGCGTCCCCCCTCACCGCCAGTGACGTGAGCGCCATCCCAGACTCCACGTATCCCCTGCTCGAGAATTGCAAGCTCCTCATCCTCGTACGTGCCTTGGCTGCCCCCCCCGCCCACCCCCCTCACTGCTCGCTCGTCCCCCCTGCTCCGATTCTCCCCCTCCGCACAGTACGCCCACCTAGGTTTCTCTCTGCTTCTTTCCCTCACGCCCCCACCACCCCTGCCCCGTCACCTTTGCTCCTTCTCTCTCACCCCCACAACTGCCCCATGCGCACCTCCTGCCACCATGGTCAAGCTCTCTATTGCTATCATCCCACTTGCGTGCGCCCATCCCCTCCACTCCAGGATGCCCTTCGCCCCGACCGCTCAAGCGCCTCTCATTTCGGTCTTCCACAGGTGATAAGTCATGCCATGCCATGCCATGTTATGCCATGCATGCCATGCCATGCCATGCCATGTTATGCCATGCCATGCCATGCCATGCCATGCCATGTTATGCCATGCCATGCCATGCCATGCCATGCCATGTTATGCCATGCCATGCCATGCCATGCCATGCCATGCCATGCCATGCCATGCCATGCCATGCCATGCCATGCAATACTTCATGACCACACCATGGAACAAATCTCTCTCTCTCTCTCTCTCTCTCTCTAATGGTCCTTGTATTGATATGGCCGCAAAGTACAAGCATGCAAGTTTATAGAGGCCTAGGTAACAAACAAGCAAAGCACCAGATCCTACCCACAACCTCCTCTAGAGCTCCAGGAGGGGCTCGACCACCGCAAAACAATCCCCCAGGTTCAGCTCCTGCCCAATACCGCCTACCGGCGGGTTCTCTGCTGCTGCCGCCTCGCCGAGCTTGAGTAAGAGGCCCACAGACTGGGCCCTCTGAAGGGCCACCGACCATCTCTGTCTGAACTGGTGCAGAAACTTCGCGGCATGAAAGGATTTTGAGTCGGCGTTGAAGTGGCGCCGAGCCGCCGTGTCTGCTAAGAGCTTCAGAAAAACAGGTACCTCGGCGCAAGGGCAGCCGTAGGTTTCCACAGCCAGGGGGAAGAAGCTAACGGTCTCTGGACAGTTAGCGTAATGCTGTATCTTCTTGTCGGCTTGCTCCCTTGCCGCCCACCCCCTGCCTTTCTGTGCCTCAGGGTCCCTTGTGCTGATGGGGTCCGTGATGGTGACATCACAGACATAGACCGCCCCGCTGCTACGGTCTGTCATGGTGAAGTCAGCGGTCTGCTCTTCAATGGGGCAGTGGGCGGCTGATTCGCTGTGAACGATAAACCCCGCGTCCTGCGCCATGCTAATGCATGCGTCCCGCAGTTCGTTGTGGGTGTTGATGCGGTGCTTGCCCGTGCCGCAGCGGAAGAGGTGATTTGGGAGGCGGGGGTCGGTGATAGCTGTGTGGTCAGAGCAGTCGCAATTCTTTGGCGTTGAGAACGGGAGCCCGAGCCGAAAGCGCACGGAGTTGGCGAAATGTACCGGGCCTATTCGTCGGTTTGGGGCAATAGGAATCGCGGTCAGCCAGTCGCCTGTGCCGTACCCCGTCAGTGAGAACATACGCTGCGTGTGGCCTGAGAGTGGGTTCGGTTTCATGCGCCTCGTGGCCTGCACCTGCACGGCGTATCTGCTGCCGTGCACCTTCAAACCGAGGACGTGTTGTAGCCGAATGTCCGACCGTTTCAGTCGTTCCTGTTCTAAAATTTCACGCGCGTCCCCTGGCAACGCGGCTTCGCATTCGGTAAGCCAAGTATGCAGTGGTGTGGTGACGTCCCGTGGTAAGAGCATGTGATTCCGAGCTCGGATCAGGGCATTTTCTGGTTCTAGCGCGAGGGTGGAGAGAAAAAGCGCCGCCTGGGTGAAACTCGCCGTGTACCCGTATACTCCTTCTACTAGAGGGTCTGTGAGGCCGATGCCTCCCAGTGATGGTGGCAGTGACGCCTGCGCCCATACTCGGGCCTGCTCGGTTCCGCACGTGGGGACGCGGATATCGCATGATACTAGCAGTGCGATGAGTAGGTCCCGTCCCCACTGGCTCCAAATATCGCGAGGGAGTAGGTGAAGAGGTGTCGTTCGGGTGAGATAAGCCACACGCCTGGAGATGCAGCGGGTGAGTAGCAGTGAAGCTACCTGAGGGTCGGCTCGTTCAAGGAGGTGTAATGGCTTCGCCATTTCTTCTAGCTGACTTGACAGGAATTTGGCTGCTCCCAAATCCGACCCCAGGTAGCTTCCTAGAAGCCGTACGCCTTCTCTCGAATACGGCACACCGTGTGGAAGCTGTGCTTGCTCGACCATGGACGCACTCCAGGCTGCACACTTATGCGGGTTATGTGCTAGGCCGATGTGGGCCAACTTGTCGGTAAAGAACGTGAAGGCTGCTACAGTTTGTTGTGTTTCCCCCAGAAAGGTGACGTCATCCGCGTACGCCAGGCAGAGCACGTCCGGAAATGCCTCGGCCGTTTCACGGAGTATGGGGTGTATCCCTGCTGCAAATAGTAACGGGCCGAGTGGGTCGCCCTGGCGAACACCGCGTTCGCTCTTCAGTGGTTCGCTGCTGAAGTTGGCGTCCAGATTTAGCAGCGACGGGTTACCGTAGGTCAGCCGAACTAACGGCAGCAGTGGCGATAGGCCGGGCTCTTGTAACGCTGTTGCAATGGCTTGGCGTGAGATACTATTGAAGGCGTTCGATAAGTCCGTCTGCAGTACCAGGCTGTCGGGACGGGCATAAAAAAACGCCCTGGCTGCGTGGATTACCGCTTCTGCTCCACCTGGCACTGCCACTCCGTATTGAAGGGGTAAAAAATGTTCGCGGGCAGCTTCCCCCATGGCTGCGAGGGCTGCTTTGGCTGCCAGCCTGGTCAGACACTCTCCTATCGCGATTGGCCGCGCGCCACCTCTAGGTTTGGTCAAAGCGATGAGGCGTGATGCTGTCAACAGGTTCGCCACCGAGCCTGGTAAAGTTCCCCCCAGAATCGTGTTTACCAGGGCGTGGAGATGGGTGCAGATCGCTGCATTTGTAACTGCCGCGTCGCGCAGATGTTCAAAGGTCGTGCCTGACGGACCGGCCCCCACTCCGTTGTCGCACCTTCCCAACAGTTTGGCGAAGTCGGCGTGGTTGATGGTCAACTTTGACCCCCCTGTCGTTGGCCAAGTCAACCCCGCGTGTGCAGCAGGTGGGTGTTTTTGGCGGAGGTCGTCCAGGATTTCTGGGCTCGGTGTGCAGACCGGCGTGGACTCCAGCGCCAGAACGGCTCGGCGCAGACTGCCACGTTTCGCCAGGCCTTCGGCTCGGTTTATGACTCCAGTTGGGTCAGGCTGGTGACGTGGCGGTGGAGGTGTGTTGACCGCCTCCACTGCGTCCAGATATAGCTGCTCCCATTCGCCACGCTGGAAGGCTCGGAGCCGGGCTTTGACCTGCGGCCAGTTCGGTCGCTGTGGCGAAGTCTGGCGAAGTGTTAGGCGCGGGAGAAACAGGAGCAGGCGCCATCCCGTTTCGGATTCTGGGCTTCGCGAAAGGTGGAGCAACGGTGTCAGTAACGCCAGCGAAAACAGCTGACACAGATTTGGCGGTAGACGCCGTGTCAGCGAGGGCTGTCGACTGTCGCTAAACGCTGCGATGTCCCAGTTTTCGATGGCAGCGAACAAATCTTCACGCTTCGCCAGCTCGTCAGGCGAAAAATAGCGGGGGATGGGTGTGGTCTGGCGCGTCGCGACCTCGGAATTGGCGGTTTGATTTCGCTGAGCACGGCCCGTCCTCGCTGGTGAAGCTGATGTTGGAATAACCCCCGTCCGATCAGCATCGGACGGTCCCGGATCTGCGTGTGGGCCTTGCAAGGCTGGGCTCCCTAAATCCACTGCCCTTCTCCTCGCCGTCTGTCTCGTCCCGTCTTCCCCCTCCGACTCTCCTTCCTCACTCTCAGGTAAGGCTTCCTCCCTATAACTAGGGTCCCGTAATTCTTCCTCCTCATTAGCTTCTTCCAGAGCTGTTAAAGCCCTTCGTGCCTCTGCCTGGTACCCATTCTCCGGGCCTCCACCTGTCCCACTAACAGCCTGCCTCCTAGCCCCGCGGCCTCCTTGTACGAGCGATGGTGATTGCTGGAGCTGCCGAGCCGTCGCCAGAGCGCGCTGCCGCCTGGTCGGCTGTGGTCGCCACGCCCCATTCGGGCCCCGAAAAGGTGACCACAGCGACAAAGCCCCCTCTACCGCAGGCTCCGAAGCCCGTGTCAGCAGTCTCTGAAACGATTCTTCCCCTCGCACCCGCGGCTCCCCTTGCCGCTCCCGAGTCCGGCCCGTCTGCCCCTGTTGCTGTTCCGTCCGGTCTGGCTGCTCCTCCTGCACCCCCTCCCGCTGCTGTAGAACCGTCTGTTCCTGCCCCTGGTCCCGATCCTGCGCCACCTGCGTCGTCTGCTCCCGTCGTTGCGCAGTCTCCCCCCGGCGTTCCTGCTGCGCTACCTGCCGCTGTTGTACTCCCTGCGGCGATCCCCGCCGTTGCGCAGTCGCTGCTGGCGGTGTTCGCCACCACTGGCGGCCCGGCTCCCTTGGTTGCGCCCTCAGCGGCGGGTCAGTCCGCGCCTGCTGTGGCACCGATGGCCCTGGCAGGCCAGCCGTCACGACCCCAGTCACCTGACCGCCGCCCGTCTCGTCCTCATTCCCCTGCGCCACACCAGGATCGCCGGTCGTCTCGTCGCCGCCGTGATTCTCCACGGCGTTACCAGCAGCAGCCTCACTGGCCTGCTCACCCCGGTGGTCAGGGGGACTGGAGGGGTTCCCGCGGGCGCGGTGGTGGTGGGGGGTACCGCCCGCCGGTGACGATGGCAGATCTTCAGCGGGAGGTGTCGAGGGCGGTACGCGAGGAGAGGGCGTCGCAGAGCCAGAGCAGTTCGATGCGCGCCTCGCCGGCCCTTGAGGCTCCACGCCAGCCTGTGCTCCCCTTGAGTCCGCCGCCTGTCGCCGCACCCCCTCCTCAGGTTCACATCCCAACGGCCTCTGCACCCGCTGCGTCGGCGCCCGCCCCTGGAGCGCGTCTTCGCTTGCCGCCGGTTCCGCCTGTTGCGGGGGTGGCCGCTGGTGGCGGCGCGTTTGCGGCGTAGTATTCGCCTCCCGCTGATGAAGATCAGCCGCTCCAGTTCCTGGCGGAGGCACTTCAGCCTCCGCAGACTCGTGTTCCAGAGGCGACGCTAGGGCAACTCCATCGCCTCGCCGAGAGTCTTCACGCGCTGCTGCTGATTCAGGTGGTTGCGCATTCGTCTCTCCCAGTAATCCCTCCTGAGTCCTTCCGTGGCCGCCAGCGTGACACTTGCCTGGACGCGGCAGACCAGCTCGCGGTGCTCCTGGCGCCCGTGCTGGCTGCGCCCGCGGAGGGAGGCGCTGCTGCTGCGGGACAGCTTGACGAGGCTGTCCGGGGCCTGAGGCGGCACTTGCGCGCTGGATCTGGAGCCGCGGCGATCGGCGCAAGCACGCTTGTGGTCCGGGAGCTGTGGCGCTCCCTGACGGGCATTCTTCACGCCCTTGGAGCGCACCGCATGCAGGCGCGGGCTCCGGTTGCCCCATGGTCGCTTTACTTGTCTAGGCAGACGTAGGGAATGCCATCGCTTGTATGCCGTTGCTTATAGTCACTCGTGTGCGTGTTCACTTGCCGTCCGCTCACGCGCGGCCGAAGGCCGCGCTGTCGAGCGTCGGCCGCCGGAGGCGGCCGGCGCGAGCGGAAAAATCTGAACCCACCGAACAATGAGGAAAGGAGGCCAAGAAGGCCTCTTAAGTAGCTCACAGAGGAGAGGGCAGAGGGCAAAGGGAGAGGGCAGAGGCTAGGTGCCTCTCTCTCTCTCGCTCTCTCGAACGAGCGGAAAATTCTGAACCCACCGAACAATGAGGAAAGGAGGCCAAGAAGGCCTCTTAAGTAGCTCACAGAGGAGAGGGCAGAGGGCAAAGGGAGAGGGCAGAGGCTAGGTGCCTCTCTCTCTCTCGCTCTCTTGAACGAGCGGAAAATTCTGAACCCACCGAACAATGAGGAAAGGAGGCCAAGAAGGCCTCTTAAGTAGCTCACAGAGGAGAGGGCAGAGGGCAAAGGGAGAGGGCAGAGGCTAGGTGCCTCTCTCTCTCTCTCTCTCTCTCTCTCTCTCTCTCTCTCTCACACACACACACACACACACACACACACACATGCACACACACACACACACACCCACACACACACACACACACATGCACACACACACACACACACACACACACACACACATGCACACACACACACACACACACACACACACACACACACGCACACACATGCACACGCTCACCCTGACCTCCATCCCTCTGTGTGCCGATGGTGGCATGCAGGCATTGGAGGAGGTGCGCAAGATCCGCCCCCAACGAACCCTCTTCACAGGTCAGGCCCTCCCAATGCATGCCGTGCTCCGCCTGCATGAGATGCCATGCCATGCTCCAGGCTCCGTTCTCACCCTCTACATGCACTGCATGCATTGCCCCTTCTAGAGGCACCTGCAGGCCATGCACACTACTGCCTGCCCCTGTATGCTCTGTTGCACCTCTCTTGTCTCATGCCATGCGCCATGCACCACTCACTTCCATGCACCACTCACTTCCATGCACCACTCACTTCCATGCACCACTCACTTCCATGCACCACTCGCTTCCATGCACCACTCGCTTCCATGCACCACTCACTTCCATGCACCACTCACTTCCATGCACCACTCACTTCCATGCACCACTCACTTCCATGCACCGCCCACCGCCATTTCTGCCTTGCCACATGATGCTGACGTAAAGGCATCGCACAGCATGATGGCACGACTCTCCCAGTCACCCGTGCCGCCTCCTGCATGCCCGCTCCTTCACCTCATCTGTCATCCATCATCCTTCCCTCCTCTCAAGACCCACCTGTCTCACATGTGCTGCACTGCCCACTGCCCCGTGTGCCGTGTGTGCCCCGTACCGTGGTGCAGGCATGATGCATGTGATGGAGCATGAGAGTGTGTCCGCACAGCTGCGGCAGCTGCAGCAGCAGGAGGGGCTGGATGTGGACCTCGCATACGATGGCATGCGCGTTCCCATCGACCTGTGAGCGCAGCGCTGCTGGCCCAATAAGCTCACTCCACTCCACTCCATCCACCATGTCATCATCAGAGTGCATGGCATGGCATCACATGATGGTGCAGAGCGGACCATGCTGCATTGTCAGTGCATGCCTGCCTGCTCCACGGCAACCATGTGCCTGCACTGCACGCCTGTGAAGCTTGCTAACTATTTTAGCTTTAGGTGTCTTGCAGGTCTTTGTACTCATTCAGTATTTTGTGCCAAGGAAGGACATCTGCAGTAGGCGCAAGAACTTCAGCATACTGCTAATCGATTATCAAACTATGTTTATAATTTGGATAGGCTGTAGTGAGGTACACCTTATGGGGTATATAAAACTCTCGACACTCTTCTTGTACCCCCCCTCCCCCCCCCCACCCCCTCCCCCTCCCCCCTTTTCCCTAGTCAACTAACTATTCTCGCTACCTACCTAAATTATTATGTAGTTCCTGAGATCAATGTACGCTCGTACGAGAATTCTCTTCAGACTGGGTCTCCAAAACAAAAAACTAAGCTTGGCGTCTCATTCGTTTGCTGCTCTCGCATGCATAATAATTGTGTATGAGGTTCTCAGGTTTTTATTGTGTATGAGGTCTCCCTATTTCCTTGTATAATGAACTAAATAAATAAACATTATTTACCTGTTTTTTTGTCTGGATTTCAAGGTGGATTTGCGTTCCAGCTTGTTTTCCAGACAAACCGAAACCCGAAACCCTGAACCCCCGGGTCATCACAACAACGAAAGACGGGAAAGGCACCTGCAATGAGACAGGCGGCTCGGAGGGGATTTAAACCAACCAGGATCCACCAAGCGCCACCACCACATCGCCGCCTCACCCCACCTTCCCTTCCCCCCACAATGCTCGCCTGTCTCTGTTCCCTCCCACCTGTCTCTTCTGTCATGCACACCCTGCCTCTTCTTGTTCCGCTGCTTTCTCTCCAAGTCGTGCTGTGTCTTCCACCTTCGCTGCTGCTCTCGCAACTTCGCAAGCCTCTTGGCTCAGTTTGTTGGTGCCTCTTTCATATCACCGTGCAAAATTTCCAGCCAACCAGCAGCGTGAAATCCTCGCCTTCGCCTAGCTGGGCTCGGCAGAAACTATTCCAGGCACCTCGCTGGCTTGGTTATACCGCCAATGCGCCTCTTCACGCCTCCCCCAGTTGTCGTCAGTGACCGCAAGCGCGCCAAAATAGCAACCGCTACTATGGCTGTTCATTACCGCAACAGGCGCCCAGTCAGAACGCGCCTCGTACTCCTCGCGCACCCCTTCCGCCAATCTGCTTCCGCTCAACCCTCCTCCGCCGTAGACACTCCTGGCATCCCGTCAACCAAGTCAACGCTCCGAACGTGGGGAGACCCTGATCATGCCGCTAGTACTCAACGTCACTTACCACCTACCACGCACCACTTTCTACTCAAACCTCCTTCGGATCTCGCCCTCAAAATCCGTGCAAAAACGCCCGGCATTAGTACTAGTAGTAACACTAGCCGCGCCTGTAGAGCTCAAGTTGGTACTTGTAGTGATACTCCCCCTTTTCCAATGATCTTAATAGTCGCCCATCATTTTTCGCACGCTCCCGATCTTCGCATACTCCCATTCTCGAACGCCTTCATGACGTCATTCCCTCGCCGCGCCTTCCCGTCCTCCCTCCCCCTCCTCTCACTCCTAACCCTCATCGCCCTCCTCGCGCTCATCGCCCTACCCCGCGTCGCGCTAGCCTACAGCTTTTCGACCCCCCCGGGGTGCGTCGTGCCGATGGCGGAGGGCGACCGCGAGGCCATGCGCGCGGTGTACGCGGCGCTGCCCGACGGCATGTTCTTCTGGCACGACAGCCCGTCCTCGCCAGAGCTCTTCGACAGGGACGGCAACCTCACGTACAACTGCTGCGCGCCAGCCAGCCTTCGGCCCCCGTCGTGCTTCGTCTGGTGCCAAATCGAGTGCACGGCCGCCGGCCGCATCACCGGCATATTCTCCGACCCCAGTCCCTATGACATGCCCGGGCCCACCGGGTATCTCGGAGGAAGCTGTCCGCCCGGCGCGCTGTCGCCCGCCATTGGCGACCTCGCGGAGCTCTCCTCGCTGGTGTTGCGCCACTCGTGCCTCGCCGGCGGCCTGCCGGACTCCGTCACGCGCCTCCAGAAGCTGACGGAACTCGACATGCCCGATAACAGCTTCTCCGGCCCCGTTCCGCCCGGGCTCTTCCGCCTGCCCGCGCTCCGCCACGTGGATCTCAGCACCACCATTGGCGGCGGTCTTTCAGGGCCCCTTCCCGACGGGCCCGATGCGTACTCCCCGTCGCTGGTAACGGTTCGCCTTTCCGCTCACAACATCTCGGGGGAGCTTCCGCGCGCGATTTTCCGCGCGCCTGCGCTGCGCGAATTGCGCATCGAGGCCAACAACCTCACGGGGGAGCTCCCGGGGGAGGCGGGAGCGTATTCGCGGAGCATCGTCGCGCTCTCCCTGCGCAGCAACGGGCTGACCGGCGGCATTCCGGCGGCGCTGGCGGAGATGACGGCGCTGAGGGAGCTCGACCTGGGGGACAACGGCCTGTCGGGGAGCATCCCACCCGCCATCGCCACTCTCTCGCCGCTCACACGCCTCGCGCTCGACCAGAACCGATTGACCGGAGACATTATCGCTGCGCTGGTTCCTGCTTCCGCTGTCTCCGCTGCTCCTGACGCTGCTGCGTCTGCTGGTCTCCGCGCGGCGTTCCCGCTGCTCAACTTCCTGGACGTCAGCAGCAACCAGCTCTCCGGCGACGCGGCTGCGCTCGTGCCTCTCCCGCGCGGCCTGAACGCGTCGCGCAACAACCTCACGTGCAGCGCCGGCAGCACCTTCGTCGCGACCGTTGTGGACCTCTCGCACAACCGCATATCCGGCGGTTTGGCGGAAGTCATGCGCAACGTCAGCGCGAGCGTGCTGCTTCTGGCGCACAACGAGCTGTCGGGGAGCATCCCCGCGGACCTGCTTTCCGCCGTGCGTGAGGAGCTCGACCTCTCGCACAACCTGCTCTCCGGCACCGTTCCCCCCCTCTGCGGCCCCAGCACGCGCATCGACCTCTCGTACAACAACCTCACGGGCGAACTCCCGCGCGACGCGGACGCGTACCAGTACGAAAACCCCTTGTACGACAACCTCCCGTACAACAGCCTCCAGTCGCTCTCGTTGCGCGGCAACGGCCTGACCGGCGCGATTCCGCCGGCGCTGGCGGAGGGGATGCGCGCGCTGACGCACCTGGACCTGGGGGAGAACCGCCTGTCGGGCGCGCCCACGGCGCTCGCGTCGCTGCGCGGTCTGGACGTGGTGCGCCTCGACGGCAACGCGCTGAGCGGGCCGTTCTGCGACGCGCTGCTGCCGGTGCGCGAGCTCTGGCTGGGCTTCAACGCCTTTGGCGGCGGCGGGGGCAGCGGCGCGGAGGAGGAAGGGGGACAGCCGGGGGAGGGCGATCTGCACGGGTGCGTGGTGCCCGCGCACGTGGAGGT